ACCAAAGTTAATAAATCTTTCACATATAAAAAATCATCTATAAAATTATTTGAAAACATCTTCTTCTTTTTAAAGAAGAATAATATTCTGATTTTGCTCAACTTTTAAAAGAAGGACCAACAGTATACAATGTAGTTGATTTTATAATACAAAAGGACCACAGCTGTTTAATTCAAGAAAAAATTAAACCAACAATTAATTGTGAAACATATTCAATCCTCATTGAAGATGTTAAAAATGAACATCTCCCCCAATTAAAATTGAATTTATTGAATAGGATGATGAACTAGAATAAGCTGATGAAGAGTTTTAAATAAGAAAACAACAATATGAAACTGAAAACAATGTTGGTTTTTTGTCAAAAAATTTTTATATTTTGTTGAACAAAATCATCAAAATTATAGATTTGAATAAATATGTATTTTTATTTATTATAATTGTAAATTAAATATATTTTTAATAAATCAATATATCATTATTTTTATTTATTGCTGTTTTGAAATAGTCTGATCAGGTAATCTGTGATACAAAAAAATTATTTCAGATATTGTAAATACTGCACAATCACGTATATTAAAAATCAGCCAAATAAATAAAAAAATCTTGTTTTTATGTTATTTTTTTTGTCTACATATCAACACTTGTTTTTATTTAATTATAATGTGCATAGTTGTAAGTTTCTTTCCTTTGATTTCAACAATTACAATTTTTACTTTTTTCAATTTCAAAGATTACTAGCTTTTTAATAATAAATTTATAGATGCCATGAGAATACAGTCAAGATCTATACTGGAAAGTTGTTTACTTGAAAAGTGAAAGCTATAATTCACAAAAAATTTTTAAAATTTTATTCATTAGTAAATCTACTTTAAATAATATTCTCAAAACATTTGCTAAGTGGAGTTGTGTAATTCTATTTAAAGGAGTACCTAAATGTAAAAAGAAATTTTCAAAAAAAGAATTTCAAGTGCTTCAACAACTTGTAAAAGAAAAAATTGACTAGTAGTTGGATGAACTTTTGGTTGAAATGGAGAGACTAACTGGAAAGTCTGTAACTGTGTCTACTTTTTGGCATTCATCAAATTATTGTAATATAACTTATAAAAAGGTTATTATTATTATATTTTTATTTTAAATTCCAAATATAATAATATTTTTTTTAAAGTTACAACAGGCTGCTAGTGAAAGAAATGAAAAAGTTTGTAGTAATTTTATGGCTACTATTGGAAACAATTATACAACTGAACAATTAATTTTTCTTGATAAAAGTTCTAAAGATAAATGTACACTTTCATTTTTTTATGGATATTTTTCAATTTATACACATGCAAGAAAAAATATAGTTTTTGTTGTTGAAAGTGATATACAATTCTTCCTGCACTTACTTTAGATGAATTTATTACTGTAGATATTATGGAAGGAAGTTGTGATAAAAAAAAAGATTTACTGATTTTGTTCTTTCACAAGTGGTAAATAAATTATCATATAATATATTAATAAAATCATTCTAATATAATGTATGTTGATGAATTTATTTTAATAAATATTTTATTATTAGCTTCCTCAAATGAATCCTTAACCAGAAAAAAATAGTGTAATTATTCTTGATAATATAAAAATTCATCATAATGAGATTTTAATAGAAATTCTTGAAGAATTGGGATTTCATATTATTTTTCTTCCACCATATTCTTCAGATCTGAATCCAATAGAAACAGCATTTGGTACTGTCAAAAGTTGGATTAAATGAAATTGTGACTTTATGAATACACATGTTGATCCAATTCATGCATTAATGATTGCATTTGGCAGCAAATTATTTTAAAGGTTCAATATATTTTCTAAAATAGACAAATAAATCAAATAATAAAATTATATATATTTGTAAATTTTACAGATTCAATTATTTTTTTAAAAATAAATAAATATAATTAAAAAATAAAATTTTATTATTATTCAAAGAAATTTCACTAACCTGTGATTCAATATTTATAATTTTTAACTCGTTAGATTCACCTCATTGAGGCGAACATTTTGGTAGTTTCTTTATCAAAATTGGATTTCTCTACACAAAGTTAATGTTCATCATAGATATTTATTAGTAAATAAAATTCTATTATAATTTTTCATGCTATTCAAAGAGATTTCCCTAATCAGTGATCCAATTTTTAGGAAATATAGCTCATTAGATTCCTCTTATTGAGGTGAACATTTTGGTAGTTGTACATCTTGACATTGAGTTATTAATCAAAAAGTTAAAGGGATTTTTTATAATAATTACAGGTAGTAATATTATAATCCGCAACTCATAATTATGGGTGCCATCTTTATAAATAATAAGATAAAATATATAAATATATTTTTAAATTTTAAAGATTCAATATATTTTTTAAAAATAAATGAATAAATTAAATAAAAATATCAATTATATTTTATAATCAAATATATTTTTATTAACAATGTCATACTTAAATATCAATACAAATATTAAAAGAATATTTATAAACTAATATTTATTAGCAGCATGTTTTGTATTTTTTCTCCATCCTATTTTATTGACCCATAGAAATTAACTCATCATCTGTTAAATCTTTGATAACATTTACAGTTAAATTTTCTTTACAAATGTATTTTCTAATGATTTATAAACTCCATTGCCATTTTGTATATCATTCAACTCTGATAAAAATTCACTAATAGTTGGATATTTAGAATATAATTCAGAAAGATTAGATGATGATTTTTCAAAAAAAGGATAAGAATTAATACCAGGATAAGAAATAGGAAATGGAAAAAGCCATTGAGGAATTGTAGTAGCTGTAGAAGTGACAGGAACATTATTATTAGAAGGTATTGATGTTGAAGTAATTGGCTTAGCATGAATTGCTCCAAAGGTAGGATAGGAAGGAGGAACAACAATTGTTGTTATTCTTTGTATCTGAATTATAAGAAAAATCAATATAAAAAAAAATTAAAAATTAAAAAAAAATTTAATAAATAATAAAACAATTTACAATGTCTCTTGTTCACAAAGTTGATTGTGCTTGTGTTAATTGAAGATTTTTATTATTTTCAATATACAAGATGTAGTATGTACAGTGGGGTATCAAAAGTCATGGGGCAAAAAAAAATTAATAAAAAAATTACTAAAATTAAAATGCTAATTGTGACAAAATGGGTGATTTAAATTGTACTAACTTTTTTTATTAGATTTCCCTAAACCAGGGCTATCATATGATATATTTTGTGTTAAAATTGAATGCCTATACATAGAGAAATTACGCTTCAAATAAATTAAAAAAATAAAAATTTAATCTTTGAGCATTACCCATACTGGTACTGATAGATTTTAAAGATAGATACCAACTATCTTATATGAAATTGTAGCCAAGAATAATATCTACAACGTTAATTATAACGGAATTTCATAAATTCCAGTGAAAATATGGACTTTAATTAGACGTGAATAAAAACGGCTTAAATTTATTAAAAATTTTAAAAAATAAAAAAAAATCCAAAATAATTGTCAATCGTTTTTACATATGAAAGTTTTTTTATTAAGTAAAATTAAAGCTGAGAATATAAAGCATCATATGCGAAGCATTCAGACATATTTAATTAAAATTAAGCGAATGATAAATGATTGAATTCTAGAGAATAATTTTTGAATGTCCAGTGTTCAAACATTGATATTAAATTCAATTGTAAGAAAAAATTCAAATTCAACAAAGATGCTCCTCATTCTTGGCTATAAGATTAATTAGTAACATGTTTGATAATTTATTAGTAAATAATAGACTTTTATATGTTGCAACTTTCGATAATTAATTTCAAATTTTTTTCGGATTTTTTAAAAAAATAGCAGAGATAAAATGATCAACATTGATTTTTTCTAAAAACCCGAAAATAAATATCAAAAGTTTTTACATATAAAAGTCTATTATTTACTAATAAATTATCAAATATGTTAATAATTAATCTTATAGCCAAGAATGAGGAGTATCTTTGTTAAATTTGAATTTTTTCATACAAATTGAATTTAATATCAACGGTCGAACACTGGACATTCAAAAATTATTCTCTAGAATTAAAACATGAATTATTAATTAAATATGTCATTCATTTCATTCGCAATTAAATTAAATTAACAGAATTATTAATATAAAAAGCTGATTTAGATATTTTTGGAAAAAGTTACCAGGTTTGAAAATTGATGTTTCTAAATGTCTCTGGCTTTCCGATTTCACACGTGAAATTATGTGAAAATGGTTGAGGATTATATAAATGTTCCTAGTAAGTTTTTTATTTTTTATTTTCATCTTATTATTACCTTACAATTAAATATTGATTTTTGATTTTCTTTAAATAGTAGCTATGGATTGGTTTAGTATAGACAAGAAAATATAATTTTTTTGAATAGAGAATATGTTTATGCAATCAAATCGGTTAATAAATAATTTTAATATTTATAATATAATATATAGTATAGAAATAATTAATTTGCAATTTTATAATGAATATTTATTGATTTATTTATCCGATTCTTTATATCAAATCATGTTTATCTGTTATAAAATTATTTGTGTTAGTTTTCATCAAAACAAATGAAAATTTCATATCGAAATAAAATAAACAGGATATTTTATAAAGATAAATTGTGAAATACACCTGATAATATTTTTCCAATAATTCTCTAACATACTAGAAAGATTTTTTATGCAAACATTTTTGAACAAATGTTCTTAGTGAATCTGATAAAACAAATTATAATAATAAATTAATAAATTAATAAATTAATAAATATAATTATAATCGCAATGAGTTAATTACGATTTTTTTTATCATTCACATTATTCTGGACGATCAAGAACATTAAGGTAGTATTATTTCTTCTTTTTTGTTAAATATGCAAACGTAATGTCATCATCTCCTCAATATGATTGACATCACTGTTTATGACATAAATTCCAATAAATCTAAACACAGATTGCATAATCTGACTAAATCGAACTCTTTAAGTTAGGTTCTGTAATCTCACATTCATACTTGGGTTGTTCTAAATTTTTGATTTTTTTCACGAAACTAAATTCATAAATTTTAAAAAAATTCTTTTATTTATTTATAAAATTCATACATAGTTTAAAAAAAAATAGGGGAAATCAAATGCTAAATTAAAATATTCTATCGATGTTCAATGTCCTGCGTTAACTAAAAAAAGATACAAATATAAAATGTATTATAGGCTGGACACAAAAAAAAGAGAAAAATTACATATATCATAATTAATAAACTTACTTGATTTTCAATTAATCTTTTTTCATTATTATTTTGGAACATTTCACATTCAAATTTTGATTTTTTTAATTTTAGTGTTTAACTCTGCATTGGAAATCTTCAAATCCGTCTTGTAGGTTGCTAACTTAGAATTAGATGTCTTCATCTGGGCTGCTAATTCAGCATTGGAAGCCTTTAACTTCTTCTTTTGTGCATTTAATTCAACAATTGAATCTGAAAACACCTTCTCAAGTGCAGTTAACTGGGTATTTCCAACCTTGGGTTTTTTGATTTGAGCAGTTGACTTGGCATTTGAAGGTTTCAGATCTTTAGTTTGTGCAGTTAATTCATTATTTAAAGCTTCTAATTCACAGTTGCATACATTTAAGTTAATATTTGAAGTCGTAATTTCTTTCAGCTAAAAAAAAATATGAAAATGGGTTGTAGACTGAGCAAGAAAAAGAGAAAAAATTACATATTTAATAAATAAATAAACTTTCTTGATAACAATTCACATGCAAATCTTTGACTTTTTTAATTTTAGTGTTCATATCTATATCGGAAATCTTCTAATTCTAAGTTAGCAGCCTACAAGACAGATTTGAAGTCTTCATCCGGGCTGCAAATTCAACTTTAGAAGCCTTTAAATTCTTTATTTGCGCATTTAATTCACCAGTTGAATTTGCAAAAACATTCTCAAGTACATCTAACTTGTAATTTGAAACCTTCAATTTGTTCTTATGATCATCAATTTTGGTATTAGAGAACTTTACTTCTTGGTTGTATATGTTTAAATTAGTATTTGAAGTCTTGGTTTCTTTATTCTGATTGTCTATTCTGGTGTTAGAAGCCTCCAATTCTTCAATTCAAGAAACTAACTCAACATTTGTGGCCTCCAATTCTTGGCTACGTACATCTAACGCAGCATTTTTAGCCTCTAATTTCTTATTTTGTGTGTTTAATTTAACAATGATGAATTTAATTCATTTTTTTTTAATTGATACTCAGCATTAGTAGTTCAAGCTTATCCTCCAAAACCTTCATTTGGGTTACTAATGCCGAGTGTTTAAATTTCCATTCAGATTTTAAATTTTCCCATTCTTTGGTAAAATTTAAAAAAGTATTTTTAAGTAAATTTTTGAGACTCTTAATGCGAGACTCATAAGTCTGTAAAAGTAAAAGTGTAAGAATGATTATAAAATAGTTAGAAACGTCATAAACAAAATTATAAAATATTATGAAAATAAAACGAAACAATTAGAAAAAACAAATGAAAAATTATATGTAATATATTTAACTGTTTCTTTAGATAAGAAAATAATAACTTAGATAAAGTCTTGAAAATGAAAGTTCTTCTGATTTATTTGATGGATTCATATCTAATAGTTATGAAAGAAAATAAAAGTTTATTAAAAATATTTAAAATAGTTGAAAAAATTTAAAAAAATTTTTGGAAAAAAATTGCATTGACCTGTCTAAGTAATTGAAATTTGAAAATTGGAAGCTTGAAAATTTGAAAAATTATTTGGAGAAGGTGAAGGATTTTATACTTTTTCATATTTTCATATCATAAGAATAAAAATGTTAATAATAATTAAGATCAATAATACTGACAATCACAAATAATAACAATAACAATAAGATAATAATATTATTAATAGTAGCTTATATTGAATGAAAATAAAAAATAAACAAATCAGATAAGTAAACATAACATGTGTAAAATTACCTTCATATAAAATAAAAAATAAACAAAACAGATAAGTAAACATTGCATCTATTGTTTATTGTCGATCTTAATTATAAATATTTTTATACTTATGATATGAAAATATGAAAAGGTATAAAATCCCTCACTCCCTCCCCCAATAATTTTTTCAAATTTTCAAACTTCCAATTTTCAATTTCAATTACTTAGACAGGTTAATAATTAACACACAATTTTTTTTCAAATATTTTTCAAATATTTAAAAATATTCTTAATAAACTTTTATTTTATTTCACGATTAATAGAAATGAATCCATCAAGTAAATCAGAAGAGCTATCATTTTCGCGACTTTCATCCAAGTCATTTATTTCTTATGAAAGAAAAACAAAACAATTAGTAAAAACAAATGTAATATATTTAACTTTAAATAACATTTTATAATTTTTTGTTTATATCATTTATAACTATTTAATAATTATTCTCACTTTTACTTTTACAGGCTCATGAGTCTCGCATTAAGAGTCTCAAAAATTTACTTAAAAATGTTTCTTTAAATTTTATCAAAGAACGAAAAAATTTAAAATCTGAATGGGAAAATAAACACTCATCGATAGTAACCCAAATGAAGATGCTAGAGGATGAGCTTGACACACGAAAGAAAGAATTGGAAACTGCCAATGCTGAGTTACACTCAAAGAAAGATGAATTAGATGTCATCATTGCTAAAAATTCCGAGCTAAATGTCATCAACCAAGAATTGGAGGATACAAATGCTTTGTTAGTTTTTCGAATTAAAGAATTGGAAGCTTCAAATACCAGAATAGACAATCAGAATAAAGAAATCAAGACTTCAAATGCTAATTTAAACGTGCACAACCAAGAATTAGAGGCCTTAAATAAAGAATTAACTGCAAAAACCAAAGATCTAGAATCTTCAAATGATGAGTTAATTGCTCAAACCAAAGAATTAGAGGTCTCCAATACCAAAATAGATATCCTGAAGAATGAATTGAAGGTTTCAAATTACAAGTTAGCTGCACTTGAGAAGGTGTTTGTAAATTCAACTGTTGAATTAGATACGCAAATAAAAAAGTTAAGGTCTTCCAATGCTGAATTAGCAGCTCATATGAAGACCTCTAATTCTAAGTTAGCAACCTACCAGATTGATTTGAAGATTTCCAATATAGAGTTGAACACTAAAATTAAAAAAGTCAAAGATTTATATGCAAATTTTTATCAAGTAAGTCTATTCATTTATGACATAACATATTCAATTTTTTTCTCCTTTTCTTGTTATAATACATTTTCACATATGTATCTTTTTTTTTAGTTAAAAGAAATTAAGATTTCAAATGCTGACTTAAACATACGAAACCAAGAATTAGAGGCTTTAAATAAAGAATTAACTGCACAAACTAAAGAACTGAAATCTTCAAATGCCGAGTTAACTACTCAAATTAAAAAATCCAAGGTTGGTAATGAACAGTTAGCTGCACTTGAGAAGATGTTTGCAAATTCAACTGTTGAATTAGATGCACAAATGAAGAAGTTAAAGGCTTCCAATGCTGAATTGGCAGCCCAGGTGAAGACCTCTAATTATAAGATAGCAGCCTACAAGAAAAAGGATTAATTGAACAAATAAGTTTATTAATCTATGACATATGCAATCTTTTTCTCTTGTTCAGTCTATAATATATTTCATATCTATATCTTTTTTAGTTAACACGGGTCAATGCACATGATTCAGTTTTTTTATAAATGTATGTATGAATTTTATATATAAATAAAATTTTTGTCAAATTTATGAATTTAATTATATGAAAAAATCAAAAAATTTAGGACAAGAACAAAATGAATTCACTTGTATCCTTAGTAATGAGCTTTGAAATTTCTTTCATAATATCAGAACACTAATGAGGAATCTATAATTACTGAATCTGTAAAAAAATTATAAATTAGCATCCTATAATCATTGCATGATGGTTCAATGCTTGCAAAATAGATGGTGGAAAAAGAAAAAAGTATTTTATTTGCTTAATTTTTTTTTTAGTTTATTGAAATCTAACAATCATAGATTCTCCTTTACACTTATCAATATATAGAATATTACTTTTGTGTTATGCTTGTACAAGTGACCATGATCAAGAAAAAAATTATCAAGAGATGAAATTAAGGACGAGAGCAAAGTCTGATATTTTTAATATTCTATATTTACCTCCGCATTCTCAATTAATCTTGGGATATCAGTTTAAAATATTTTTCTTTCTCAATTTGAGGTTAGACTTTTGGGATGGAAAGTATATTCCGAATAATTTTGTCTCTGGAATTCAATGCCTATTTTTACAAATTCCTGAAAATTGTTTTCATTCACCTGAAATCATACTCCAAAGTATAGATTAGAATTTCAATAAGATTGTTTGATTATTATGCCCAACTATATCACGTTCTTTGGAATAGAGAGCAACAAATCACTTAATTGAAAAAAGCTATTAGTCACACTGGGTATATTACAAGTTTCACCAGACCTATTAGGCAAAGTGAGTTGGAATTAGGCTCAAAAGGCACTTTTTCTAAAATACTTCGAATAGACTTATGCAGCAAAATTTGTGACTCTAATCTCAAAATTTATATATTCTATGAAAAGAGATTTATTTGGAGCTGAGGGCATCTTTACAAAAAAAAAATGCTAAAAATCTTTAATAAAGGAATAATAGGGAATCAAGAATTATAAGGAACTACTGGAAATTGAATGTGAAATTTGGATTCTGCATTGAAGGGCAAAGCAGAAATTACTATTTGATCGTATGGTTTTGCAGTTGCTAAAATATGTGGGAGAAGAAGAGAGCCTGAGTATTTTTGATAAGAAATTCAGATTATTAAACAAAATATAAGATACGTTTTGTATCACATTTGTATGTTCTATGTAGAATGAAAAAACGGAGGAATTTTTATTTTGTTTCATTAAAATATTACTCAGATTTTTCTGAAGATTCCTTAGAATTATCATGATTAAAAAAGCATAAAGTTTATTAAATCTAGAAAATTTTATTATGGATAAACAAATGCAGATAGCCGATAGGTAATTATAATTGAGGAAAAGAATACAAATCGGAATTCATAAATCGGAAAAAAAAATATTTATGCGAAGTTCGAATTTGGTAAATATTTATTTATAGCATTATTAACTATTTAGATGCAAAAACATGTCGAATAGCTTCTATATTAGTGAATGAGTTCTTTCATTTATTTATTATTAATCTTTAATTAAATTATTTCTTTAGAAAATCATAAGTTTCCCAAGTTTTTCCAGAATACATATAAATAATTAAATCATTCGCAAGTGTTTTCATAATACATTCATTTCTGATTAAAAAAATTTATACCAATTCTTTCTTAAAAAAATAAGATCATGATTAAGTGCATTTCAGAAAAAGTAAATTTTTTAAGATATTATCACAAGATAAACGTTTCAAATCTATTGTCTGAATTATAAACTATTAAATTTTAAATTTTTGAATAAATTTTAAATGAACATCAATAGGTCTGAAACTTTTACTGCAGCGTGAATTATATTTCTGGTTTTAGAGTTAATTTTTTGATATTTTTATAACTAAATTAAGTAGTTTTATATGTTGGCAATGGAATAATTTTCAATCCAACCTAAAATAAAATTAATATTTGGAATTAACTATGAAGGAGAATATGACTTGAATGGTTAAAAATGTCCAAAAATGGGAATATACGCAAAAAGTCTTTATTTATTTATATCTGTCCTTTTGAGTTGTTGAGTGATCGTTGTCCTTAGTTTTTCATTATTTTTAGAAGAAAATTAGATCATTCTTTTTTCTTGTTAATACGGTTGGATGCTCACCTAATACTATTCACTTGACAAAATTCATTCATTTCATGAGAATTTAAATTATTTAAAGCAATGCGAATTAAATTTATAAAAATGAATTATACTTTTATCATAACCGATTCAAGCAATTAGACATAGACGATATCATTATCAAAATCTTCAATGTCAATATTTTGATAGAGAAATTGTAAGGGTTATATTTGACAAATTGGGTAATTAAAGATACATCTCATAATCAAAGTTTTAAAGTCTTAGTGAATACAACTTTTTTTACATCTCTACATAGTCTGAATCGTCCTTCAAGGCGTCTTTGTTAATTCTAATGTTGTATTCATTTTCTATACGATAAATTTTTCTGGAAAAGTACCAATCGGTTGCTAGCAGTAATAAATTGAGAGATAAAAAAAATAAATCAGTCTATTCGTGCCTTAATATAATAGTAGTCATTGAAAAATCAAATTACATTTGTGGTAACGATTCCATAAAGATGATCAAACTCTTTTATCAAATGCTTCATCTACTTTTCGTTTTTTTGAATTTGTTTGATATGAAGCAGTAAGTTGCAAAAAGTTTTGTCCGAATCATACTATTACATCTTCTATTTTGCTTCAGTCACAGCTATCAATTCATCAATTCCGGTATCTTTGACTTTCTTAATCGTATAATCATGAACTGTTCTTTCATTACCAATTTTACCAATTATTTCAAACTGGCATCTTGAACGTATTTTTTGTTTAGTAATTTTCCGGTAATTAATATGGCCAAATCCAGTATGTGAGTTCGATAAAATTATTTTGGTAGGTTTCTAGAACTTGCTCAACAGATTATTATTATAGAAATAATATTTTGTACTTTGCATAATTAGAATCACGTGCCTCTAATTTTCAGTAAGATCATTATTAATTCAACGATATTAGATATTACGAGAGTTTGTTTCCGACATCATACAGAAAGAACCACATGGTGACGAGTAAGGAAACAATTTTGAAACGGCGAAGTGGTTAAAGCCATAAAGGGATGATCAGCATATCAGATAATATGTGTCGCAATAACAATTACTTTTTTTATGCTTTTTTTTTCACCAGCTAACTTTAAAAATTTAAAAAATTACAAAACTTTATTGTCGATCTATTCTATAAAAACGAGTTATGCAACGCAGCAGTAAAAAACCTGTTTATTATAATATAAACAAACAACCTATAGACTAACATATTACAAGTTTTTCCTTTTTTTTAATTTAACTTTTAATTCATCGTATTCTCTAAGCATTCCCATATGTTCTTTCATTGGTTCTGACAATTTAATGTCGTACTTTCGGTATAGCATTGCTAAAGTAACTTTTAGTTCCATCTTTGCCAAATGTCTTCCTGGACCTGCAGTAGATAAATGAAGGTAGATTAGATAATTAAATTTTTCATTTAGTATTTCCATAAATTTATAATTAAAGAAAATTTATATTTTCTCAATCCTTCGCCAAACAAATAAACTTTATTTTTACTCTCTGGATTCTCAATAAATCTTTCCGGATTAAATTCTTCGGGATCCTCCCAATTTGATTTGTGTGTATGAATCCCATCAAAATTTATACAAAAGAGAGCATCCTTGAGCCATTTATAGCCTCCTACAACTTGTGATCAGAATTTTTCTTGAAATTGTTGGAATAATGGCACGTAATCTTCCCGCTAAAATTATAAAAAATTTTAGTATTAAAAAATTAATGAGATATTATACTGTAATAATATATTATTAATAATAAAAATAGTAATGAATTAGATATGAAATTATATTCTTTGATGACATCATCGGTGTATTCAAGTTTTGATAAATTTTCTAATGTCAATGGAGTATTTTATTTCTAAGAACACTTTTCATTTCTTCTAACATTCGTCGTTTTACTTTCGGGCTGTTTTCCAAACAATCAACTAAGAAGCACATGGAATTTGAACTCTACATAAAGAATAAGAGAATACAAAATAAGTTTTATCATTATTCACACATCAAGGTTAACAACAATACTTTTTTTTGAATAATAATTAATCAATACTGTATCAATACCGGCACTTATAAGTTCCATAAAATTAGATACTATTGCTTTATCAGACATTGGCTTATCATGAAGATTATCAGCAATTTCGGTAACAGTGTCTACGTTAAAAGCATTGTTAAAAAGTCAGGGTTTAATTCTTGATCAATCGAAATTTCTTCTCGTCTTGATCTAGCAACATCATATACAGTATTCCTAAATCTATTAACTTCATCCTTTAAGTATTGAATATTTCCCTTAATTCCAGGGAATTTCAAATAATTCTTGGAACCATAAAGAAATAAGTCAAGCTATTAAAATATATTTCAGCAGATTTTACAAACACCTCATTTTCTTTAAGCACGATTTCAGTGTACATTTGATTTTGATATTTCAATTGGGGCTATTCCGTTATGATAATTTGCCAATGCATAAGCAGGTTTATTGGCGGTAATAATAAAAATAGTTTCAAAGAAATATCGATTCACCCAATGATCAAATTCAAGTACTGAATCTTCATCGAATTTTTCCCATTTCTTTAAAATTTTCTTGTATGGTTGTTACTGATTGTTTAATAAATGAAAGGGACATCATAGCTCTGGTAAAGAATTTAAGATGGTACAATTAGTATAATTATAATTTAAAACCAAACCAAAGTCATTACTCCAATTTCTATAAGCCTATCAACATCATCGTCCATTCTACAGTGAAAGTTAAGGACAGGTTTGAATAATCTCATTATTAGTCAATAAAATAAAGCGCTCTGATCCCACATATTTTCTGACGCCAAGAGCGAAATTTTTGAAAACGAGATGAGTACTACAAATAAATGGAAGTGGAAAAGGATCAGGAAGTAGATTCACAGGTTTAAAATATTTGTAATAGAAATATGAGATATAAGTTATTAAGGCACCTATTGATATTTTTGATATCTCAAACAATAATCCAATTTTGAAGTTGGGAGTTTGTCTAAATTTCTCTTTATTTGAATAAATTTTTGTAATTATGTAATTTAACGAATAACTTTAAGAACTGAATAATTGCCTTATTTTTTAGAGTAACCATCCCACTGTCACATGCCGTATTTGTTATAAAAAATAGATTAAAGAGTATTTTTTTTATTTTTTTATATTATACTAGGAAAAACGGGAAAAAATCCTTTATTTTGATATAAAGTATATAGAATAGATGTATATAGTATTAATTTTTTGACATTTGTACAAAATAATAATAATACATAAATAAATATCATGTTTTTATGATGTTTTTTCTAAATTGGAGATTTGTTACAGCTTATTTTTTAAAGATCTTGTATCGACGCCAACACTAACATGATAAATAATAATTAATAAATCTTAATATATTTGAAAAAATAAGCATATGGGTTGTTATTTCCGATACGCTCATTTAGCTTCTGACTTTCATCAAATTGTTGATAGCTTTAAAGAAGTTGGATTAGTTGGTGCAAGGTGTGAGAATATTGTCTCTTTTTTTTTTTTTTGTTTTATTTATTTAATAAATAGATTTTATAGTGTTCTTCTGCTTATTTTTTTATTTGAAAATATTAGTATTGGCACAACGAAGAAGGATAAAGGTCCAGCATATTCATCAAAAGCTTCACGTTCTGTCTACTTTTCATCATTTTTTGAACATTGAGGTTTTTGCAGGAAATTTTCGTCAATTGGTAACAAATAGAATAAAACGATACGGAAATTTTGAATATGATGTTGAAGCAGAGATTGAACGTTACAAGGTAATTTCATTAATATTTGAATGTTATCCATACAATTATAAATCAATAATATTATTATTTTCGGCTTTTGATTTGCTATACATATCAAACCCTACGTTGCGTTGTTGATAGCATTCTTTTCATGCATAAGTTTATAAATTTAAATAAAAAGATTCTTTTTGAAGGTGCCAAATGCTTGACCTTGACTTTGGTACTTATCCATTTGTAACAAGTTCAAACACTACTGTTGGAGGAGTTATTACCAGGTTAGCATTCCTCTTTCTAAAATGACAAAGTTATAGATGTAGTTAGAGTTTACATAACTAGTGTTCATCGATTCTTGATGTAAGTTATATTATATATACATAGTCACGTTTTTTGATGTTTCAAGTATAAATTACTTATAATTATTTATGTCTAGCAAATATGAGAATACTTACAAAATTTGAAGCCGAAATTGGTACTACTAGCGATGCAAATGGCTTGATCTTGTAGTTCTAAAGTATTTCTAAAGTATTCAATCAGGTAAACCTTTATAATAAGGAATTTATTTTAATAATCTTTTTTGTTTGATTCGCTTCATTTTCAAAGCTTGAACTTGATGTATTAGATCATCTTCCAGAATTGAAAGTTGCCATAGCGTACCTTTTGATGGAAAACCATTGGATAATTTTTCAGGTATGTATTGTTTTTTTTTTTTATATCTTGTTTTCATTCACTTCATTCGCAACCAAATTAAATTAACAGAATCATCAATAAAAAAAAGCTGACTTAGATATTCTTTGAAAAATTACTGTGCAGTATAAAACACTATCGGGTTGGAAATCGATATTTCTAAATGTCGCAGGCTTTCTGATTCGCCGAAAACGCGCGGAATTATGCGAATTATTTAAATGTTTCTAGTAAGCTTTTTTTTATCTTATTATTACCTTACAATTGAATATTGATTTTGATACTTTAAATATTTTGTAGTTGAATGGTGAGACGAGAAGATATGATTTTTTGAATAGAAATAAGTTTATGCAATCAAATTGTTTATTAAATAATTTTAACATATATAATATAATATGTAGTATAGAAATAATTAATTGATTTATTTATTTGATTCTTTATATCAAATCAAGTTCATCTATTATTGTATTAGATTTCGTCAAAGCAAATGAAAGTTTAATATAGAAATAAATAAACAGTATATTTTATAAAGACACATTACGAAATAAACCTGATAATAATTTTCTAATAATTCTCCAAGAACATAGTAAGATTTTTTATGCAAACATTTTTGAACGAATGCTCTAAACGTTTTCAAAGGGAATCAGATAAAACAAATTAATAAATTAATAAAATTAATGAATATAATACAATGTGATAATATCATTAACGTGTATATCACTACTACACTACAATTATTTTTTTTTGAATAAATAAAGTTTAATAAATTAACATGACATGCCATGCACATTTATTTATTAATCACTCGAAAAAAATAAACATTTAATTTATTTATTTCTGAGTGAATGGTAACTCTATTATTATTAAAATTTAATAATCTTAATTAATCTTAAAAAATTTATTGAGATTTAATTTTTCTTTGTAATGTTTCAAAATTTGTTATTATTCAGCAGTATAATTAAAAGCATGAAGATTTATTTATTTATAAACAATCAAGTATAATATTTTATTTTTAAATTAAAATTATTTATTAATAAAATTAAAAAAAAAATTCAGTAGGCAGACTTTTAAATTACAGAATTAGAATCAAACCTTCAAGAATCGTAAGAATCCGGGAGGCAATTCTTAATTAAAATAATTATGACTATTAATTATTTTACAATACTAATGTAATAAATTTTTCCTACATTCTAATCATTAGATTAAGTAATCGATTATATTTTTGAATTATGTTTTTATACTGGGATCACATGGGATAGTCAATTTGGGGGTTTCACACTGCGAATATTTATCTATGTATATGTATTTCTAAACACCAATTGAGTTACTGACCCGGAAATATTGGAATTCCCTTTGCGCAGAGGTCACGCAATTATTAGGTCTTTCGTAAAACGACAAAATTATAATTAAAAAATAAGTCATATTATAGGATCTGGTCATAATATGACAATATCTAAAGCTTCCATAACA